GGTTCAAATCTTCATTTAAGATTTTTTTTAATTTTAATGTCCAAGTAATTTTATTTAGTTTTAATTTTTAAGTAGTGTTATGTTTTTTAAGTATAATTGTTGTTTATATATAGTTATGTTCGTTATTTATTTTTATTTCTCAAAGTTTCATTAAATAAATGCAAAATTCGTACATAAATCAACTAATTTAGATGTAGTCGCAAAAAATTTTAGAGGACCTTTGTTTATTTTTTTGTTTTTTTTTTAGTAATTTTTAGGCTCTGGCCTCCAAAAGCAAAAATAGCCCCGGGCCCCAAGAAGTCTTAATCTGCCACTGAGTCGCATCATTATTATGAGGACTTACATGTTGATCATTTTTATGAAAACTTACATGTTTATCAGATTCTTGGAGATATGTGTCTAATACCAAAAAAACACCTAAACTGAACTTAAAAAAAGCTACTTTCCGAGAGTTAAATGAGAAAAAGTACAAAAACCTGTTTTTGCTAATTGCGTTGTTGGTGCTAAGATTGACACCTTTATCAATTCTTTTTATTAAAATTCTCACAAGGGTAACAAGTTTAAGGTTAAACCAGATAAATACCAAAAAAAAAAGTTAAGCCAGATGCTTAAGTCGTGTATAAAGCTATAAAGCTAAAGCCTAATAAATGCTTGCTTCTTATGATTATAACAAAGAAAAAAGTTTTTTTTAATTTTTTATTTCAAAAGAAGTTATATTATTCGTTAAAAAATTGTACTATTATCAAATATCATTAAAGTGAGATAGAGAATAAACAACCTGTTTTTCAGTAAAACCGAGTCCCCAATATAAAAAGATTTTTAGAAACCCTCTAAAAAATTCATTTTGCATATAAGTTCACCTTTTTCTGAAAAAAAAGATTCTCAATCTACCCTTCGTACCTTAATCCCATTCAATTTAGAAAAATAATTTGTTGCAAACTTAAGAATATTTGTTATATCATTTGCAAACATTTATCATTACTTGCGCATTTTTGATATTTTTTTTTTTGTCTTGATATGTTTGTTTTGAAACTGCATCTGCTTCTTTATTTTTGACAAAAAATAAAGTTAAATTATCTTGTCTAAAGTTAAATTATCTTATCTAACATTGCAAAATGAATGTTTGAATAATGTTCGAATAACGTTTTCAAAAAGATTGTAAAAAATTGAATAATTCTTTACAATCAAGTATTAAACAAAAGAAACGAAAAACCTTAATAAAAAGTATAAAGGAACCTGATTTGGCTGAATTTAAATTTTTAATTAAAATATTTTAAAAATCAGTTCTGATTTTTAAAATATTTGCAGTACTGAAATAAAAGATCCAGATAATTAATACGCAATGGGATGGAATAATCTGCTTTAGTAGATTATTATTCTATCCCAATGTGTAAAATATCAAATTAAAACTACTTTTATAACTTTTTTTTGTTTTGTTTCCAAGTTTATGTTGTAAAGATTGTGGCCATTTAAAAGCCGTTTACAAATTTTTATTATACGCAGCGGAATGGAATAATTCGATGAAATAATCTAGTATAGCTTTAGATTGTTTCATCCCGTATACAAATTTTTCATTCCCATGAATCAAACAAATGCGATTAATACGCAATAGGATGGATTAAATCAGGAGCGTAGAATAATCTACCACATATCCCATCTCCTATTGTGAATCGTACAATTTGAAACATATGATACTGAGATTAAATAATAGTAAAAATATAATTAGTATATTTATTAGCCCAACATATCATAATTATATTAGTTTATATTGATTTATTAAATAGTTTTTTCTCCAAATTTACGCATTTTTAATTATGTTTTTAAGTTATATTTTATATTTACTAATTCATTAAAAATATTATACAATCTTAACCCCATACGAAAATACTTTATACCTTATTGTTATTAAACGATTGCGACTTTCGTTATCGCACGTTTGAATGCGCGCGCATTTTTCAATATTGTGTGATGAAGAGAACACATGTTGTTTGAGCATTTTCAATAAATTGGTGGAATGACTAAAAACATTTTACATTTAATAGTTTTTCCATTTTCAGTTCTATATATACTCAAAATTTAAGTATTAAATATGGAACTTTTATAAAAATTAATCAAAAACCTCCTAAAAAATGGAGATTTCATGTTTTTCTTTCTGAAATCCCCCGGAACCTTAAATTTTGCCTTAAAATCCGGAGATATGGTAACCATATTCGTGTTAAACTAGATATTGAAAAACATAGAATAAAAACACATTTTTCTAAAATTTGAAATATAAGTAGAAACTTAAGAAACATAAAATATTCAAAAAAATATTTTGCATTTGAACTGAGAACAAAATTTATGTTAATATAGATACAATGTTCCATTGGTTGTCTAATTGTTTCTAAAAAAAAGTAGAAACTTAGTTCTTATCAGATTTTATCCTTAGACGCATTTTGAGACTCATTTTTATTCACTTTTCTCACAAATAAATTTTATTTTTTATTTACTACATGTTTTTAATACGTCAACAAAAAAGCATTTATAAACCGGTTTTATCGCAGTATTTGTGTTTCTTTGTAGTCATTAACGGACTTCTATTGTGCGAAAAGCTGAGAAGGATAAACATTGACAAAGCAGTGTTTGTTTCAAAATCTAATCATTTAATATAATTAATTCGATAGCTTTTTTTTTATGATTGTCAAGAGTTCTTTATCATGTACAAAAACTTGCAGATATCAAAAAAATTGGAATATCTAAAATCTTAGAGAAAAAAAAAGTAAGAAAGCAAATATATTTTTTTATTTTTTATTGAAAAGATAAAACTGAAAGACAAAATTGCATATAAAGATTTGTGCTTACAAAGCCTCGTTTAATTTACGAAACCAACCTGGTGTCGTCGGCCCTAATATAGGCTTCAAAAATACAATGTATTAAAAATTTACCAAGTTGTGCGTTCAGTTTTATCAGTCAGTTTTTTTAGTTCAATGGTCGGAAACTTTTACATATTTCTTTAAAAAAGTAAGCCTTGAAGGTTTTTTATTATTTGGTATTATTCGACTGCCTAAGTAAACCCAAAGAAATGCTCAGGTTGCATAATTATCAGTTTAGTCATTAATCCAAAAATAGACAAATAGACTGCTTAGATGAAGAGTAGACAAAACAGTTTGTGAAGCCCTGAAGATAACTTTTTTAATTTGATCTAATATTTTTATAAAAACTTATAAAAGTACAATGGTTTACATCTTAGTCCTTAAACCTGATTAAATTTGACAAACTAAGTTAAGAACTCAAATAAATTATTGTAAAAATAATAAAAAATTGTTTAAAAAAAATAATTTAATTTTTGAACAGAAAGAACTGAATAATCTCAAAGTTTTTACGTGTTTTTATATTTTTTAGCGAAAGTAAATAAACTAAATTCTAATATATTAATATTATAAAAAAAATTTTAGATTAAATTTAAAATGTTATCTTGCCCTTAGGATGTCACAAACTGTTTTGTCTACTCTTCATCTAAACTGTCTATTTTCTATTTTTTGATTAATGACTAAACTAATGATAATCATGCTACAGAGCATTTCACAAATATCAATTGATGTTAAACAAATTATAATGAAATTGTTTAGACATATTCATTAAATACAATATTTTATAAAATCCTTCGTCAATTCGTTACTAATAATTTTTAATAATTATTTCGATACGTTGTGGAATATGATTATTTTAAAACATCTAAAGAAAAAATCAAATTTACAAAATAAAATTAAAATTCTTACATACAGGGTCAACAACACGGTTCTACAATTACTAAATCTTTATGCGCTAAAAATAAAAGGAACAAACACAACAATTTCAATACTATAAATAGATTGCTCGATAGAACAAGCTATCGTGTAACCTGTTTATAGTATTCAATACACTTGTCAACTCTTTAAATTTTCTTTTATACTTTTTTTTTTTATGTTGATTTTAGGTGCCCCAAGAAGTCCTTACGGTCTTATCACAGAGTACCGCGGAAGAGCATTTAATAGGAAGTTCACGCCTCCTTCCCAACCGATGTCGCAAAACTTTCCCAGAGGTGGGGTTTGAACCACGGATCTTACGTTTCTGAGGCAAGTGCGCTACCACTGCTCCACGGCTGCTTAAATACTTGATCGTTTCACACTAAGTTTCTTATTATGGTATGAACACTAAGTTTCTTATTATGGATTATTTAGGCGGTTTTTCGGTTACTTGAAACATAAAGATAAAACCTCAAAAAAACCGGGATCGCGCCTGGTTCCCGGCAGGCGTTTAATTAATAAGCAAAATTGTTGAATTTAAAGAAAGAATTTAACTTGTTGTTATACGTTTACAAAAGTTGAATCTGAGGAAAAATTTAACAAATATTTACATAATTCCTAAAACTGAAAATAAATTATTGAAAAAATAATAAAAAATTATTTAATAAAATGGTTTAATTTTTGAACAGAAAGAACTGAATAATCCTAAAGATTTTTTCCATTACATTACTTGTGTGCTTCCAGTGCACATTCAGGTAGGTCTTGTTGCTTTTTGATTGCGTCTTTCCATTTTAGCTCCCAAAATTCATATTCTGAAGAAACTTTCATTAATTTAATTCAAAAGAGTTTTAAGGTGGTAGGCCTATGAAAAACTTTTTTTAAGCATCAAAATAAAATTTACAATAAAACTAAGCATTTATTACCAATAATTATGAGACTAAACATAAAATCAAAAAAATATATAAAAAAGTGCCTCGCTTGCCTCAAAAATTTATTAAAAAGTGTGAAAAAAACGAAAACTTCAAAACACTAGTAGTAAGAAAATGAGAGATCAGAGGGATTTTTTATTTTCAACCAAATTTTCAACCATAAATTAATATTAATATTGAGGTTAACATTGAACCATGTTGTATATAATTTATTTAGATAAGAAATAATTTTTTATTTTAAAAAAATCAATTTTTTTAAAATAAGTGTTAAATTTTATTTCTTGTTATGAAATATTATGAAAAATTCTTAAAATGACGTCACGTTATTTTCTTGCTTCTTATTCCTTATATTCTTATATCCTTTTTCATGTAAATACTTTACAACTTCAAGGTGACCTTTGTGTGCAACATTATCTATTGCCCATTTAGAACCTTTATACCCTAATTCATGTAAATACTTTACAACTTCAAGATGACCATTTTTAGCAGCATAATCAAATACCCAATTTAAACATCTATATCCTTTTTCATGTAAATACTTTACAACTTCAAGATGACCATTTTCTGCAGCATTATTAATTGCATCATTTGTACTTTTATACCCTAATTCATGTAAATATTTTACTACTTCAAGGTGACCATTTTCTGCAGCATAAATAATTGACCAATTTGTTCCTTTATACCCTAATTCATGTAAATATTTAATTACTTCAAGGTGTCCATTTTCTGCAGCGCTATCAATTGCTAATTCTGTTCCTCTATACCCTAATTGATTTAATAATTTAATTAAATCAAGTTTACCTATACTTTCAGCAAAATCAACCTTATTACCTTGTTTATACCCATATTTTTTTAATATTGTAGTAATATAATATATTTGAGTTGAAGGTTTTATTAAAAATTTATTATTTTCAATATTATTTTCTTGATTCATTCTTTTTTATATATACAAGAAAATTATTTAACTCATTTTCAATTTTTTTTATTTTTTTTAATGCGCATGCGCTAATTCTTACTGTATTTTCTTTTTAAATCTTATTTTACATGTGTAATTCTTTACATTAATTTATAGTATTTTCAAGTTCTTTTATTTTATTTTCAACATTTTCAAGCTTTTTTTTAACTTTTTCAATTATTTTTTCTTTTCTAGGTATTTTTCTTTCATATTTTTCTAGTAGTTGATCCCATACACATATAATATTAAATCCCTTCACTTTATATTCATATTTTATGAGTATATCACGTTCTTCTTTGTTTTTAAGTATCTCTATTCGATTTTTATATTTTTCTAGTTGTTTACAATTGTTTCCAAGACTGTTAAATAAAGATGAATAATCTTTTTGCAATTCTTGCATTTCGTTTTCCATTCTTTTTATATACACAAGAAAATTATTTAACTCATTTTCAAAATTTTTTTTTATTTTTAATGCACATGCCCTAGTTCTTATACATAGTAGTCTCATAATTAACTATATCCAACAGAACGTAAATATTCAATTACTTCAATCTCTATTAGCATTTCTATTAGCAATTCTCCTAGCATATTTCTCTTGAGCTTCACATAAAGCTATCGCCATTGCTTCAGGATCTGGTTTATAAGGATTTTTATCTTTTTTACAATCTAATTTTTTTTCAATTAATTTTATTTTTAAGCATAATTCTTCAAGTTTATTTTCTAATTCTTCAATTTTATTTTCCATTCTTTTTTATATACACAAGAAAATTATTTAAATCATTTTCAAATTTTTTTTTATTTTTTAATACGCATGCGCTAGATTTACTAAAGCATTGGTTTGCTTTATCACTACTAGAATTTATAATCACTACGTGTATCAAAATTATTAAATATATCCATTTTCTACAGCTAAATTATAAAACGATTTTGAACCTTTATACCCTAATTTATGTAAATATTTAATAATTTCAAGGTTACTATCTGATGCTTCGCTTATCTGGTTATTTACTGCACAATTAAATGCATGTACTGTTCCTTTATACCCGTTTTTATGAAGATATTTTAATACTTTAAGATGCCCATTCCTTGCAGCATTATCAATTGCATCTTCTGCTCCTTTATACCCGTTTTTATGAAGATATTTTAATATTTTAAGATGTCCATTTTCTGCAGCGCTATCAATTGCTAATTCTGTTCCTCTATACCCTAATTCATGTAAATATTTTAACATTTCAAGGTGACCATTTTCAGCAGCTTTATCAATTGCATATTCTGTAACTTTATACCCTGATTCATATCCAAAATCAACTGCCGGTCCTTTTCCTTTATACCCTAATTCATGTAAATGTTTAATAATTTCAAGATTTCCATTTTCAGCAGCATTTTCAAAAGCATCATTTGTACTTTTATACCCTAATTCATGTACATATTTTAATATTTCTTCATTATCTTCATTATCTTCATCATCTTCATCTTCTTCATCATCTTCATCATCTTCATCATCTTCATCAACATATTCAGTAGTTTCTGTAATTTCAGTAACTTCAGTAGTAGTAACTGTAGTAACTTCAGAATCATCAGTCATTTCAATATCATGAATATTAATAATATTTAATTTTTCTTCAACTAATCTTAATCTTTCATTTATTGATTTTAATAATTCTTTTATATTATTTTCCATTCTTTTTATATATAAAAGAAAAATTATTTAAATCATTTTCAAATTTTTTTTTATTTTTAATGCGCATGCGCTGGATTTACTTACGCGTAGTAGCGCTTATGCATAGTAGAATTGTCTTAACAATATTATATAGGATCTCTTATAGCATATAATTCAAGTTCAGTTGCAGTTACTAAAGTAGTTGAACTATTTTCAATGTAATTAGTATATACAGGAAAAACATTAGCAGATCCATCTGTAAAACTGCTATTTGTACACACAGGTGCCCAATATCCGCCACCTGTATCTAGTGTAAGTACTGCTCCTAAATTCATCATGCTTTTTGTAGTTGTCAAATTTAATCCGCAAAATCCTTGTCCTGTGTTTGTATTACCGAATGGTGTTTCAGTTGATATGAGTTGTGCAATATTTTGATAATGCATAGACATCATTGGAAGGAATGCTTGTTTAAATATAATACTTTTCCATTCACCATTAATTTTATATTTTAAGCGATATTTATAATATCCATCTTTGTTTTTATAAAAATAGTTATTAGATAACTGACTATATTTTGTAGCTGTAGTTGGATTAGCACTATCATAATTAAGTGATCCATAATAATTAGTTGGAAATAAATCTGTTGGTACTTGCCTAACAATTAGCGTTTCTCCTGATATGTAAAGTGGATAATAAACACTATTAGCATATAAATTATTTTTAGCTGTAATTAATGCATTATAAAATTGTTGAGCTAAAAATATTTGTTGACGTGAGTCGTAATGTACGGTGTCATCGTTTGTAATTCTCATAGAAGGTGGAAGATTAGTAATAGATATGCTTGCAGCGTATGGAATATATTCTCCAATAGTTGAAAGCGCATTTTGAACTGGTGTTGCTCTTGCTGAATTAGCTGAAACCCATCCAGGTCTCATTTGAAAAGTAAGGAATGGAATTGTATTTGATTTTGCTTGGGAATTTGTTAACGTGTAAAACTGATTAGATGAATACCCTATATAATCTCTTATGGTTTGAATAAAGTTTACTAGAATATGTCTATAATTATTATTCCAGCCATCTATAGAATCATTTTCTCCTTGAGCCCAAGTCATACCACAAAATTCTGCGTTATAATGTGATAAAATATATCTAATTCTACGAGTTAAATTTCTAAATCCAGTACCATATGGCATAAAATAATCATCACTAAAGCCTTTTGCACCTAACATACATGGAAGTATCATTAAACTTTCATCTGAATGTATTATATTTAATGTGTTTGAAGTATCAGCATCTTGCATTATTAAACCGGCTAGTATTGAACCATATCCAGCATAACACATATTATCTGATTCATTTACTTCAAGTCTAAGAGAACAAGGAAGTAAAACATCATTTTGTCCATTATCCATTGCAAATTGTACTATTCGTCTATGCATATAATTTACAGTAGTTATTGCATTAGAATTACCCCATTCTCTACCATAATAAGTATTTGATTGTCCAGCTACAATCAAAACTTTATATTTACGAGGATAAGGAATTATTCTTTCTATATAATTTGTAATAAATTCATATGTTGAATCAATATATTTTTTTGTAGCTGCATCTTGTGCATTAGTAGGATCAACTACATTGATCAATTTATGTGAATTCAAATTTAAATTAGCACTCATACTATTAGTTCCATCTAATTTTAGACATGCACTGCTAGAAGTTTGATTATTATCAACATAATTTTTTGTAGCTGCATCTTGTGCATCTGTAGGATCAGCTACATTGATTAATTTATGTGAATTCAAATCAACATCAGTAGTGGCTGTATTTCCAACATTAATGTTGATATTTAATCCATCTGTTGTGTAACCATATAATGAATTACTACCTGCTATATTCATACTCATTTTTTATATACTATATTTTTTTAATTCAGTATAATGAGTTTTCAATACTTTGAAAATCAACACCTTCATCAAGCTTTTTTAATACATAAAGGCACAAGTGTCCGCAAAAAGAAGTGTCTCCAAACTGAATTCTTTTACTATTATAATAAACAGGACTGTGTAAATATTGAACAAGTTCAACTGGAGGTGGTAGTGCATAAGAATCAAAACTTAATTTTTCTTCTCCATCTTTATACCAGCAAATCCAATGAAATCCATTCGTACTTGAATCTCCAGTATTTAATATTCCACATTCTTTGTTTTGTGTATTTTTAGGTAATTCATCTCTTACAAATACACCTCTAAAATTTTTAATTTTTAATTTTTTTGCTGCTTTTATTAATTGAAAGTTTGTTAAGGGTACATTTGGCAATATAATTCCTTCAACATTGATATGTTTGTCCATTTTTATTACTTTATTAGATTTTTTTAGATCTTTTTAAGATATAAAAAATAACTTACCTGTTTGCCTGCCTGCCTGCCTGCCTGCCTGTTTATTTCCAATCAATCTGAAATGAAAAGTTGGGTTTGTCAATTATTTCACTTTCATTCCAATCAATCTGAAATGAAAAGTTGGGTTCTGAAGGAACCAATGTTTTACTCTCTTTTAATTTATAATGTCCATATGCTAATGTGTGAATACCATCTTCTTGAATTACTCTTTTATCATCTTCTGCACTCAATGCTATTTTGTTTATTTCTTCAGTATAAACATCATGTAAATGAGATCTTATGAGATTCATTTTTCTCATTTGATCTTTCTTATTTATAAGGCAATCTTTATAATCTTCATGTGTAATATAATTTTTTACTACATTTCTCTTTACTCCTTTACATCTCTTTTTATCTTCTTCATCTATTTTGTAAGAATACAACTTTGATCTGAGTCCAATAAATTCCGTAATTTGTTTTCCTGCTGATTCATCTTTAAACATTCCTATTACTTTCTTATTTACACCAACTTTAAATCCATTTTGAACAGCTGGATGATCTTTATTAAATTCACTTGTATCAAATTTACTTTCAATATCATTAGAAATATCTTTATAAAAATCTTCTGTTTTTATTTCATAGATTAATGAATCTGTATCTGTATATAATAGTTTAGCTTTATCTCCATATTTATTTTTCATGTAATCATAATGAAATTCATACATTAGTGTTTTACTCAAATCTAAAATACACATACCCAAGTAAATGGGTTTGTTATAAACTAGTTTTGTTCTTTTCATATGTATTGCAATTAAATTTTCATCAAATATCGTTCTACTTTCATAATTTGGTTTTGATGATAATTTAATAGCTTCTTCTCTTTTAGAAACTAATCTCACATCAACTCTGTTTTCAATGTTTTCCATTGTTTTTCCAAACACTGAATTGTTCATAAGTTTGAAAAAGTCTATTTCAAAATCATTTGTTGCTTTTGTTCTTAGATTTGTATTGAGTTCAATGTATTTACTTAACCATGCACTTTCTTCAAACTTTATTCCTCTGTGAATTTTTGTTATTTTCATTCCTAATCTTTCATACAGTTTTAAGTTTTCATAGTGTATGATATAATTTTTCTTATGATTTAAATTAGGTATTAATTTATCAACTTTGTCTATTTTTAATCTTTCAGGGGCTAGAGGATAATCATTATGAACATCATGTAAGTGTTCAGGATATTCCAAATCTACATCTAATATGCAAGAAGTAGATTTCCAATTTTTTAATTCTTCTTCATACATCCATTCAAATCCATGTGTTGGAAGGGGTTTGCTCATAGCCCACCCATATAAATTATTTGCATCTAGATACTGTATGTAA